TTTTTTTTTTTTAAAGAGGAGAATCAGCCGTATTATTTTGTAGTTTTATTCATCAATTGAATGCATTGGGCACTTCAAGCTGTGCAAAAAAATAATTATAATGATAAATCCCATTTTGAATAAAATACAAAATAGTGTCCACATCAAACACAATCCAAATGCTCTGCCTCTGCCCGAGAGCCTTAATCGCACCTTAAAAGCGTCAAATATCATCAAAGGTACACGCAAAATAGACTCTAGTATATTCAAAATAAACAAGTGTGTGTTTCTATGAAAAAGGACATCGTCCATCTGTGAGTACATTTCCTATTGGTGAATATGAGTGTCATAGTTTTGGTCAGTCTTATATGAATGTGAAAAGATTTTGTGTGCCTTGCTTTTACCAATATAGCTCAAAATTGTGAATTGATTTAAGTATAATAAGTTGATGCAACCGTTGACTCAAACACACACTAGATAGGAGCTTTGCTGGGTTCTTATAGTTCCGTCCTTTCCTCGGATATCGAGGACTCTGTGGTGGCCCCTGTGGAGGCGGAGCCAGAGGCCCCATCCGCATCTTTGGGTTGGAAAGACAGCGAGGCCGAGTTGATGCAGTAACGTTTTCCACTGGGCTTTGGACCGTCATCAAACAGGTGTCCAAGATGGGCTCCGCACTGCATTAGCATGAAACCAAAAGCCAGACAATAAAAAATGCGCTTTAAGACGAGTTTTTAAAATGGACAGTGAGGGGGGCATGCCTAGCGTTTCACAGCAGGTAATTCCAAAGGGAGGGACCGACAATGGAGAAAATTTTAAATTTTAACTTTGTAACCCAGGAGCAGCAAATGCAATGAAAACAGCTGGGGCTCCAAAATTGAACCTTGTGGAACACCATACAACAGTGGGACAGAGAGGGACCAAGTCAAATCTGTTGTTACTTTGCACTCTTAAAATGGCTGGTTAAAAATAACCCAAATGACAATCCTGGGTTATTTAAACCAATTACTCGACAACTATTTCAATGAGTGATTCATGAATTTGAAATTAATCCCAAAAATATCCCAGAAGGGATACTTTTCTGTACACAGCTATTGCATCACTATAGGAACATAGTCGCAAAAATCTTGCCGTCTTTTCGATATTGTACAGTGTCGTTAGCGTACCTGGCCACAGGTGGTCTCCACTCTGTGCATCCCGTAGGAGAAATCATCTGACACATCGATGGACTCCTCTTTCAGAAGGTCAAAAAAGGAAGGCCAACCTGCACGTGTCATGAATGGGGAAAGTCATGTTGCGGCTCTCCACACGTAAATTTATGATCGCAAACCTATTGAGGTAT